TCTTCAGGAGTTCCAAATAATTATAAATCATCGATATAAACTGTTACAATTGTAAATTTAATATCTGTTTTTTTTATGAAAACACATGGACAGACATTATCATTATTATAACCCTCTTTCAAAAAATATTCGGTAAGGCGATTATACCACATATGTTCAAATTATTTTAATCTATATAATGATCTTTGCAATTTAGTTGATAACATAGTTCTTGGACATGTATCGTTTGTTCCTAATACCTTAGGTCCTTCAGTGACTTTCATATATATGTTACTATCAAGTAAACCATACAATTATGCAAGTACTATATCCATAAGGCGCATATCAACTTTTTGTGACACAAACAAACTAATTAAAAATCTAAAAGTGATGGTGCCCATTACGAGAGAATATGTTTCCTCGTAATCAATTTCTAGTCTTTATGAGAAACCTTGAGCTACTAGTCGAGCTTTTTACTTTGTAATTTCATTATTTTCATTCCTCTTTCGTACAAAAACTCATTTGTATCAAACAGAGATTACATTTTTTGGTATTCGAACTACAGGTCCAAACAATTATTGTTTCTCTAAAGAATTCAATTTCGCCTGTATGATTTCTTTCCATTTTGGCCAATCTTTTCTATTTTGACAGTCTTTAATTGATTGTAGTTCAGAATCCTCATTTTGCATAATACCAAAAGCCACATTAAAGGTAAAAATGTTGTCTATAATAATATTATTTTGTTCCCATAATTTATGAGATAACATATAATTTATTGAAATATCACTATCTTTGATTGATCAATATTTGATTGATCAATCTTTTCTAATGTGGCTTTTTACGAAATTTTTGATTGGTTTTTTTCTTGTACTTTTCTTTTTCGAAGTACAGAGTTTTTGAACCAATTGATCGACCACGCTTCTACGTATTTGAGATTCATTTACTACAACAAATTGTCCTATATGGACATCAATTTCTATAATATATGACTTTGTCACTTTTCTTATATCAACAAATATATCAGGTAAATGATTTGCAACTCTTTGCAAATGAATGATTTTTTCAACATTTTGCTCACATTGATTGCTGCGATGATCAAAATAAGATAGAGTTATTACATTCCAAGAAATTTTACCTTGTTTTTTGGATGCAATTTTTTCCCTTTCAAAGTTGGGAAATTCATTTCATCCAATGGCAGTCTGCAAAAAGTAAAGTAAATAAATCATCCGTTAAATGTTCAAGATACTTAATAATTGATGATGAATCAAAACTTACATAAATTCCAAGTCTTCGTTGGGGACCCATTTTAGTACGTTGTGGGGGGTGAAATATGGACTTGGACAGCACAGCCAGAAACCGTAGGTGAGAATTATCAGGTTCAAAATCAAATGTCAGCTGCAAAGGTAAATATTGATAATAGGCAGTTGGTCTAATACGAAACAATGATGCAGCATATAATATGACATGAACTCAAACAGAAGTTGAGAGTTTTGTTTTCATAAGCAATGGTCTAACAATAAGTTGTAGAAGTTTAATAAATGACTTTGCCAAACCATTTTGTGTATGGACATGAGCGACTGAGTGTTCAATTACAATCCCAATTGACGCACAATAATCATCGAATCCTTGTGATCTAAATTCACCAGCATTGTCAATGTGAATAGTTTTAATTGAGTAAACAGGAAATTGCCTTGTAATTTTATAATTTGAGCAAGTAGTCTAGCAAGGGTTACATTCCTAGTGGAAAGTAGGCAAACATATGATCATTTAGTAGAAGAATCAAGTAATATCATAAAATAACGAAATGGTCCACATGGTCGGTGTATTGGCTCACATATATCTCCATAAATTCTTTCCAAAAAAGTTGGAGATTCAATATTGATTTTGGTAGTTGAAGATCTAATAACTAACTTGCCTTGTGAACAAGCTGCACATGGATAACTATTTAATAAAAGAATCTGCTGGTTTTTTAAAGGATGTCCATGTGATGTGTTTATTATTCGACACATCATTATAGCTCCTAAATGTTCACGTCGATTATGTCAAAGTATAAAACTTTTTGGGTAAACGAACTTCTGGTTCGTGACATTATTTGATTCAACCATTTTTATAAATGTATAATACATGTTAGATGAGAGTGCATGAAATTTTTATTTTATTTGCTTCCAACCAAATACAAAAGAAGTTATGCAAAGATATTCGACATTATTTTCTTGCTTCGTCTCAATATGATATCTATTACAACGAATATTTTTAAAACTTAGCAAATTTCTTCTGAATTTTCTAGAATAAAGTGCATCGTTAATGCATAATTTTGTATTATTTGGTAAAATAATACAAGTTCTTCTAGAGTTTTCAACGATATTCGATGTACATGATATTGTATTGACATTATTTTCTTCTAATGTTAAATTCAAAAAATATTTTTTGTCCTGAAAAATATTACGTATAGTTGTACTATCAATCAAGCAGGTGTCTTGACAATCCACCATGAATCTTTAGGAGCAACAACAATGATAAGTTATCAATGTGAAATTTATGGAAGAACATCTAAAAATATTTCACGAGATTAAAAATATTAATTTCAATATGTAATGATTGCAACACATCCACAGAGACATGACTTGTACATAAAGGAGAAAAACGTCCACATGTATTACCAAAAAAAATAAAAAAATGATAATCATTAACAACCATTCTAACTTTAACTAAAGTCATGGAATTTTGTGTAAACTATTACATACTATTAATTTAGCAAATAATTAAAAAGGTAATTGGAATTCTGGGTAAACTATTACACAATTGAGTTGGATAAATTGAACGTGATTACATTACAAATACAAATAGGTCGAAATATGATTATGAATTGGCCGAAATTTTGTAAAATAATTTTTAACATTATAGATTGAATGTGAATTTCAACAGATTACGATAGAAAGTTCAAACACGCAAATTAATGTGCTATGTGTATAAAAAAAAAAATTCACATGTTACCAAATTAATTTTGATACACGTGATGGGAAAAAAATTACTATCTTCACAAAATTTTGAAGATTATGCTTTTCGTTCTAATAACGTATTGTGAAAAAAAAAAAAGAGAGAGAATAGAGAGAAGTCTATAGACTTGTCAGTATTTTATTAAGAACCAAAACCATATATTTATTGATAAGAATAAAAAATACAATGATAATAATTTCTAGAACTGCAAGGATAAAGGTGTAATTCACTAACAAACCATAATAAACTTGTCATTTACAACAATTTTCAACTAAATGAATCATTTATTAATTCCTCAAACACCGACTTTCGTGATCCTAATCTTTAAGTGCTCTAGAAAAACATGACATGTCATCAAACATGATTTGGCACTTTAGGAGTCCCAGCAATCTAATAATCATAAAAAAACAAAATTATTACTGCTCTGGATCCATTCCATTACCTATAGTTGATCTCTCTCAACAAATTTGAATAGGAACATAAACCAAGTTTATACTATATGAGGCCATCAAGGTATTTTACTTCAGTAGGATGTTTTCTTCAATACATGTAGCAAATAAAGAATAATTTCTTAAATAACTGCACAAAGAGAAAAAAAAATTACTTTGAAATTGCTGTTTCAAAGAGATTTCAAACTGGCAAACACGCTCATATACAAAGAAACAAATGTCATTGTTAGCATTTGCCTTTTAGCAAAGGTTTGGATGAATATAGTGATTTTTAAAAATTTTGAAATTGTATTGGGGATATATTTAGAGCAAAATGAATATATAAAATTTATGTGGATTTATAGTGTTTAAATGAATGAATTTAATAAAGACAATATTCTAATTTGACATGGACAAAAATAGTAATTTTTTAAAATTTTAATAAGAAAGAATGTAGATTGAGATGAATATATAATAATTGCGAATCTAATAGTGCCATCCTTCGCAATCCAATGAAAATATTAGTAAAGCTCGATTAAAAGGCAGGCCTATCTAGGGCTGCACAAAAAAAGTCGTGAAATCGTAACCCGAACCAAAATCATTAAGTTGAAACCATTGGTTCGGGTCCATGTGGACCCGTTGTTTTTTCTTCAAACCCAACCAAACTGTTTTAAAAGATTTGGTTTAGGTTTTGATTTTCAAAAATCGCATAAAATAGAATTGAGCCGTTTTTAAAATTTTTAATTAAAACATTAATTTTATTATATATATATATATATATATGCTGAACGAATCATCAGTCGCCTTTGCCTGTTAATCTGCTAATTTCTACCTTAATCATCTCTTTCGGTTAGTTTCAAATTCTCATTCAAGCCATTTTTTTGTTGTTCTTTCTTTTATTTGTTGTTTTTGAACTTATTATAAATTTGTGAGTTGTGGTTTGAATAGAAAAATAATTATTTGTGTGTGTAGATGATTAATGAACATGTTTATGATTTGAAAAGAACGAAGGACGGAGCGTATTGATTGTGTAAAAATGTTAAAGTTTTCTAACTAATATTACTACTACCTTTTACTTTCATAAAATAGTTGGAGAATGAAATTCGTCAATTTTTAATAAACTAAAACTCTATCAATCTTTATACATCTAAACATATCCAATTCAATCCCTATTTAATATCTTATCAATAAAACAAAATGAGTTTTAACCAAACTATAATAGCAGAATGTAATTCCACCTTTGTCAACCTATATATGACAATATAAATGTCAAACAAAAAAATGTAAATAAAAATGAAGACAGTATTTATTCTATTAACATCTTTTAGCAATTAACTTTGAAAATAATTTATTCATAGTTTCATTATAAATATGAATATAATTTATCATTATTAATTCTTGTTTCACGAGGTTATCTCACTTCTTACTGACAGTCGCAGTGTGGGAGTTCGATTATTGAGATATGAAATTGGACTCCTTATAATCGTATTGTACAAATAGCTCTTATTCCCTGATCTGCTAGGGCACATCCCACGATTTGCCTCATATAGGATTGGACCATGGGGCTCTCAAAGTTGGGTTCAACCTCTTTTCTTTTTTTCTTTTTTTTTTTTTTGATAACCCAGGTCTATTGAGAAGGCGGAGAGCAGCCTAGGTTTTCTTTATCGGTATTACACTAAAAATTGGGAATACATTCATCATCGCCGGCACCAATTTATCGTATGTTGCAGTGATTTCTTCTCAACTTCTTCATCACCAAACTTGGAAGGTAGTGTCGGATTGTATTAGTGTTAAAACGGGCTTTATATGTTGAAATCGACTCGATTTGTTTGTTGTGAATGATTTAATTTGAACTCTATCTCATTATAATTTATTTTATTTTTCCAGAATTTTTGTATCTTGATGGTAATCTTTCTCTTGCAACAGTGATTTTTTCAACAATATTTCTCTTGAGTTTTTGATGCGGTCGTTTATGGTTTTCCATTGGTGAAATACCCAGGACCAAAATCCAGTGGGGGCAACTGGCTCTGCCCCCGAATTAGTGTGTGTGGGGGTTGTGAGAGAGAAATGACGTGAACGAGGTACAATAAGAGAATTAATAGAGTGAAATTTGTGGTCTTAGTGGATTGAGAGTTGATTGAGTGGTTAAATGCTTCAATTGAGTAGTAGTTGCAGTGTAGTGTCTACAGGTGGGGTGCTACAGTATTGTGTCCTGTATTCATAAAATTTGCGCGAGAGTAAAACTTTTATCAGTAGAATCCAATTTCCTTTAGTGTTTATATTCAACACGTATTTCTGTTTGTGTAAGTTAAAAATTCTTCTCTTTGTTGTAGACGAGAGTCAGAAGTTATTAAAAGGGGGATCAATTCAGACGATATTAAAACGGAAATTATTTGAATATGGTAAGAAAATTTCGTTTTGCTGAGATTATAATATCGCTTAACCTTTTTCCAGATTAGAAGGGAGTTCTCATATTTTACATTGGCTTTTCAGTCAGCTCTCTTCAATTTCCACTCTTTCCTCACAGTGGTGTTGTTAGGCATCTGTACCTGCACTTATTTGAAGATGCAATTTCCAGCTGTTCTTGAGAAGAGAACTGGGTATGTCTTTTTGTTATATGGTCCCAGAATGTGCAAGTATTAATTCTTGCTTAAATTTTGTATATCATGTGATCTATTATCATAAATATGGTTGAATTTCTCTATCTCCGGATAATTTTTTCCTGAATGTTCGAAAGATTTGTGTCAGAATTTGAAAGTTGAATTCTAGATTGATTGTCTGTTATTTAATGTGAAAATTTCATATGGATGTATTGGTGTTCTGCAATCTCTAGATCATCAGGAAATGCTTTAGTAGGTCCATTGATTTAACCAATGATAAGTTACTTGGTTTCATTGACATACTTTGGAGCATTTGATCAAATATAGGATGCTAGTCAACATGATCTATGTACAGCATAACATTCTAAGTGTCCCCCATTATTGAGAGAGCTATGTTCAGATATATTTCGAGGTATTTCTCGAGCCTGCATTCTACCTTGTGATATAATAGGCTTTCTTAATTGTTTATGATGACCGAGAACAAGGTTAATATCTGAAATTCTAAATCATGACTGCACTAATCGATTAGCATATTAATTATCTCTCGGGCTATTTTTCTTAAATTTCTATCCTTAATGTTAATTAAGGAAAGATAGCTGTGACCTAACTATCAATCTGCAAGCATAGCCACTAAATCACCATAGCAGCTATACCTGCCATCTTGAGAAATTTGTACACCAACCCCTCTTGTTTATCATCTTATAAGGCATCCTCCATCCTTTTTAATTGAAGGTGGAGATTATTTTGAATAGAGAAAACATATTTAGAGCTTTGATTAAAAATGCTTATATTTGCACATGGTCAAATTCAGCAAGATAAAGTATGCTAAAGCTCAATAATTTGGTTTTCTTATTGAAAATGGAATACACGGATACAATTGTTTTTTGTTTTTTTGTTGGGGGGGGTCAATAAATTTCAGCCTTCAGGAGTCATTTTCGGACATTATATGCTCATACTGGCAAATAAAGTAATTATGTATGCTAAAGCTCAACAATTTGTGTTGCTTACTGATGATGGAAGATATCCAATGAGGGAGAAGTCAAAATAAAATTCAAGAGTTGTTTTCAGACGTTACCAAAGAAAAGACGAAAGGTTATGAAATTCCTTTTTGTGTTTTTCTTTGTAATTCCTACATTTTCATTACATCTATGCAAATGTAATAAGCAATGGTTGCAGATGTATAAAGACGTTATCTAATGGTAGATTTAGTGCGTGTTTAATAAAACTTTGCTAAAATTTTATTTACTTTTCAATTGGTCAAACTTTAATTTTAATAACACATTTCATTGGACCCACAAATTTTATCATCTTTTTCAACCACATTACATTGACTTTTATCAAAAGTTGCTAAAACTTTAATCAATAGCCTTGTCAAATAACTCCTTAGTAAGATACAACTTAATAACATTTGAAAGGTTCGGTCTCACTAGTAAACCGTAGCACTTTGAAAGCAATTTACTACAACTCTTTTGTCCCATTTATATCATCTGTACTTTTGGTTGAACGCGAGACAAAACTTAGGAAAGTTTTTCACGTAGCAGGTGCAATGTTATTAAAAACTTCCCTTCATTTGTTTTTGCTTGGGTAATATGATTTGGAAATGACAGATAAATTGTTCCCTGTTGGATCAAAAAAATAAATAGGATTAAACCATTAGCACCTCATTATCACAAATATTGTGATGTTAGTAAGGTGGTAATGGTTTAATCCTATTTATTTTTTTGATCCAACAAGGTCATAATGTGATGTTAATGAGGTTGTAATGGTTCTTGATGGGTAGTTCAGTAGTCAGGTTTTGAGTTTGCTTACCAATGATCACCAGTTCCAGTCCTCTTAAAGCTATTGAGGTGAGTATCCAGTTGTAAATTTTAGGGTCCCTTGAGATTAGTTGAGGTGTGCGTAAGCTGGTCCGGACACTCGCGATTATTAAAAAAAAAAATGTGGCATGGCTCATACAGAAAGGTAAAATAATCTTCGATTTCACCTTTTTCCCTTCAACTTCCTCATCAAAGTGGAGGGATGCAATATGGTGTTCCAAATAACTTTTATTGGTATTATATTTGCCTTATTGAAATGGTTTAAAAACTTTCCCAATTTTCTTCTGCCAATTCATAACAGTGATAGTCATTTCCTGAGACGTTCGGTTAACTTATGGCTTCATCTTTTGCGGAAAGGTATAGTCCCTAAAATATTTGCCAACTTCCTATTAGGACCTGCCTCGTAGATTTCTCGAGATACCTCCTTATGAAGTTTCAATAGCATTTATAACTTCCTCTTGTTGACATCCACCTCAATGATAATCGGTACTGAATGAACATTCCTCCTGGATATAGTAATGGTTTCCATAGCAATGAAATCTTCTTTGTTCAAGCATTAGTCCGAAGTCATGGTGCTTAATGGTTGAGTTGTACCAAATTGGGAAAATAAGTAAGATTACTCAGTTTTTACTCTACTTGAAGCATCATAGGGCTCTATATACTTTTCTGTTTAAGCTTTAACATGGAAAATCGCAACTTGTTTGCTCTACAGCCATACAATTGGAACCAACTTAGATAAATGTGAATTTTCTGCAAGCATGTGGTGTATGCGATTCTTTTGATAATTTTGGAGTCCTGTTTTATTCTTCGAGTGGTAGCTGAAAAATAAGTGTCTTGTTAGCTTATTTCTGTTCCTCTGGCCTTTTTATATATCATCTACTATATTCATGAGTTTTTTTGGTGTTATGCTTATTCTGTTTCACTTTTTCTTCCATAAAAACGTGTTCATATTTGTTAACAAGTACTAATGTGGCAGGTTTCAAGGTGTCTTCTGGAAGGCTGCTAGAATAGGTATGATTTACTTAAATACAATGTGCACTATGCTGCTTTTGCAGGATTTGGTTCATAATTTATTGATGTACAATTTTAAAGTATTCCCGAGGTTTTAACATTCAAAAAACCACGCATTTGATTTTATAATTAATTCATGGGCCAATTCGGAAAGAACCAGGGTTCAAAGCGAAAAGTTGGTTCATACTTTATTATATATATGAAAGCACAAAGCTAGTTTTATTTATTGAAGTTCTAAATTCTAGACAAATGCCTTCTGTACAAAACATGCTTAATCATTTTTCACTGTGGAACTATATTCACCAGGATTCTACAATCTCAGATGGTTCACAGATGCTTAAATTATTTGTTTCTGATCCTTTTCTTTCTTTACTCACGAAGTTTCTTTTTGCTCTGCCATGTAAAAATTAACAGAATCTACTTTACAGGAAAAATTAACAGAATCTACTTTACAGGCTGTTCACTTTCTTGCTTGCTCTTGTTTCTGACATCTTATTTTTTGATTCCACCCCAGGAAACAAGTTATCTAGTCATGTATATATGATTATTTTGATGCATTTTATGAACTTCTTAGGCTGTCCTTTTCATTCAAGATTTTGCATCTGGAAAATTTTCCTTGCGTTTCTTTTAATTTTGAATGATAATGGGCAAGCTGCTGTTGTTGGTCTCTCTCTCTCTCTCATAAATTTTTCTCGCTTAATAGAAAAACAAGAAAAAGGTTCATGATATTTTTTTACTCTATACACTATCTATATGTGATGGAAGGTTAAGTGATGCTTGTCATATAAATCTTATATGAAGTTAATCTATGCGTTGAAACTTTGACACTGTTATGATTCCTGGAATAGGTGAGAGATTAAGCCCTTGGGTGGCTGTAGGATGCTTCACAATGGGTGTGTCTATAATCTTCTTCTAAGAGGAGAGCTATGCACATGTACCCCAACAACCATTTAAACCCTCTATTTTATTTTGTACTGCTTCATGCAGTTGAAAGCTAATTTAATGAACTTGTTTGGATGTCACTAAAGCATTCTTTACTTTGACTTTTGTACTGTTAAGATTTATGCGATACCTATTTGTTTGATTATTTAATACATTTTGGTGATCCTTGTAAACTGTTCAAATCCCGGAACTAATACACGAAGGAGCTGGATTAATTGAAGAAAATTGATGGAAATACTTACCATAATTAATGATGTATATTATATGTTGATTGATTTCTTACAAGCTTTAGTGGATTCAAATTTATTCATTTTTTATAGCTTTCCTTGTACTATATATATGGACCCTTTCATTGTACAAATTATTGAGAAATAAAAGAAATCAATTTCTCCTCTTGGCATCAGAGCCAGATATAATCTAACCTAGTCAGAATATGGCTGAAGTAGCGGAAAATAACAAAGGTTCAATGACCTCTAAATCATACAACAGTGAGTCAGAAGCAACATCTGTCATGACTACCGAAGGAATTGAAAACTCATCATTCCAATTCACAGTAGAAAAATTGAACGGAAAGAATTTTTGTGAGTGAGCCCAATCTATCAAACTTCTTGCTGACAGAAAGGGAAACTAGGGTACCTGACCAGCGAAACTATGATGCCTGCCTCAACCAACTTCGCTCTCCTTAAAAAATGGAAGTCGGAGAACTCCATGGTGACTTCTTAGCTGGTGAATTCTATGCAATCGGTCACTGGAAAGACGTATTCGTTTCTTATAACAACAAAAGTGGTCTTAGAGGCCATAAAAGGGATGTACTCAGATTCTAAGAATTTCTTCAAAATTTTTAAAATTAAATCAAATCAAAATTGTGGCAAACGAAGCAAAGTGAATGAGAAGTGACTGGTTACTACCTTGAGATGATTGGGTTGTGGCAAGAACTCAACTTAATTTCTGAAGAAAAATGGATGTGTGCTGAAGACAGCGTTCGGTACAGAAAGAAATTAGAAAACGAACGTGTGTCTAAGTTCTTTGGGGAGGGGGGGGGGGGGGCCCC